CAATCAATCAATCAATCAATCAATCAATCAATAAATATGTGATAAAATAAAATTTAAGAGTACACAGGGGTAAGAGTAAAATAAAAGTGTTAACTTCTCACCTCCTTTTTAAACTTGCATCTAATTGATTTGAGTAAAGTAATTTGAGCATGGATTACAGTTTATCTTAATTCTATGTTTTATATACATGTTATTTTGTTTGTTTTAAATAAGTTCCTTTCGTTCATTATGTACTACTTTGCAAAGGTCTACAGATAAAGCACAAATTAAGTAAAGTTTTAATATGACAGCATGTGAAGAAGTTAGAGAAGACAGGTTCTGTAGCATTACAGCCTTTTTTCCCTGAGCACCACAAAACTTAACCAAAGTAGACATTGAGCTGACACAGACTTGGAGTTAGAGAAGGCTGGTTTGCAGAATCCCTCAAGAGCCAAAGGAAGAGAGAGTCATAAACCCAGGAATGTTAATAATTCTTCCAGACATTTTGGGGTTTTCCTGTGCTTCACTGTGGGACTGTGAAAACATATGAGTGAGCAAACATCTGGAGCAATTTTCAACACAAATTTAACCTCTTTATTAGGCAACAGCTCTTCATGGTGTTCCCACCAAACGCCTGTTTTCAATCTTCCTCTCTGTGTCCATTTGGAGGTTAAGCAACACAGTAGGTTTAGTACATCAATTACGTTTAACAAGTTGAATTATATCATGTGTCTTAATAGATTAGATCACATAATGAAAAGTTTTAAACTGATGGTGTGACTAAGTAGATCATTCCCAGACTTAAAGATGGATTTATTAAAGGCTTTAATGTGAAGTGTTTCTTTAGAACGGGAACAACCTGAAAGTTGGACAGTACAGGGAGGACATCCAGCTCATTTAATGGATTTCTCAATACAGGGACTTGCTTCTCAAGGACTTCCCCATTCTGTTCTTTGGTCTCAGTAAAGGGAATTTGAATTTTGATTAAAAAGCCAGTAGCAGTAGTAGCCACTGTGATACGATAGAAGAAGAAAACATGGATTTGTGTACTAATACAAACCCAAAACACTGTAAGATGTATTTATTAGCAACTTTTTAAATGCAAAATGTTTAAATGTTACTCTGGTTGTATGGTAACACTCCCACACCTTGTTAGATTTAGGGAAAAGCACTCCCTTCTCCATTCTGGCAAATAATTTAAACCAGTTGCTAGTGCTGGGTGTGTTTTCCTTTATTATTTTCATCCAGGTTTGACTTATATTTAGCTAAATCCTTCTTCCCTGTAACTCAGACCAGCTCCCCTGATCCCACTATGAAATAGCCTCCCCACTATTTTGAAGAGAAAGGTCTCAGTCTTAGTTTTATGTGTTTTTTCTATGTAAGATTCAGTACCAGTCTCTCTGACCAAGACACCTTCTTTAATATTTTATTCTGTCCCCATGTGTGAGAAATATTTGATTGGATGTCCTAAGGCTTTATCCTTACCACTTGAATGCCAGATTTAAGTTGTGCGTAATAATGTTCTGGTCAACAGATTCTCCTATCCAAGTTGTGGATCTCCCAAGTTCCTCCAATGATACCATGTCCAGCCATTTAGACATAGACAGACATACCTTGGTACATTTGAATTGGGCCTTGTGGTTCACTAATTTTCAAAAATCAACTGTTTATAGAACAGCAGGATTTCTACTAATTTAAACTACATTCTAATTATTTATTAGTTCCCAAGTAGATTGCATATGATTTGATTTAGTTAAATACGAATGAAGGGGAATAAGTACAAATGAGCACCAGACATCTCTCTCGTAATGAACTTGAGAAGCCATTTGTCGTGTGCAAAAAAAGAGAAATGAATATATCGCCTCTATTTTGAACTGTGAGGATCACGTTTCTCCAGTATTTTCATGTCATGTTTCATGCTTCATTTAGCTTTAACATGCATACGGTTCACATGTATTGTGTTTACTGAATATGTTTTGTCTTTACTACTCGCTGTTTTCCCATGAAACAGTAAATGTATGAACCACTGTCGTTTTTCGCACTCCTGTGAAAACAGAACAATCAAATCTGCTGTTTTTTATATATAAGATTGCTTTTTCGGGACACAGGCAAACCTAGTGCTCTGTTTATGTATGTGTTTTGTTTGACCTCTACTGAGAGGTTTAAGACTACATTCCTTTATTTGTTCTGCAAATCCTCCAGGAAGCTAACAATGAGGCTGAGATGAGTAAACATACAAAAAGAAGAAAGGATCCCTCAATTTTCTTTGTACAACTTTTTGTTTTATTATCTTTGCCATAAACAGTACTCTTAGATTCTTATTTCCTTCTGCATATGTCAGAAAGATTTTACTACTTTATGGCATTCACCTTCAAGGACAAGCACAATTTTTCAGACACACCAAGTTCACTTGCCCCCTCTGCTGGTAGTTCCCTGGTAGTACAGTTGCTGATTATTTATTCTTTTTTAAAATATAAACCTGTCACTATGAAATTAGATTTACAAAAGACATTAAAACAAGCACATTAACATATACAAAGGGCTGGTTAGAGTAGTCCCCCTCCACCCGGATAAAGAAATGTTATGAATATAATAACAAAGGATTTAAAATGTTTAAAATAATGATACACTTTTGTAATTGCAGAAGAGACATGCTGTTAAATTTGAGTAGTAGGAGCATTAGGAGCCTGAGGAACCAAAACAACACCAACAGCAGTAGAGAGAGGGGCTCTGGGGGGGTAGGGTTCTACAAGATCAACTGGACTCAGACTCAGCAGTGCTTGTGTTTCGCTGCATGTGTGCCAGACTATTAGATTCCATCAGTGAAACCATGGCTACTCATCCTCAGGCCGTCTTCAGCTCGTTTTGTACACAGTTGGATTTTCATTAGATCTTTTCTTTTTTTTATAAGATCCAGAGGGTTGTTGCTTTTTTACCATACATCTTGGAACATTAAGTTTAACTCAGATGGCAGCAGTTTAGTAAATCATTACAATTCCCAAAGTTAAATAATAAAAAAAACACATTTAAAGCACATAAAAAGTAACATTTCTATAGTTCTCAGACATAACTGATCTGATTCCCATCTTCCATCATTCATTGTTTTATTTGTCTTATTTTACAGAATACACTACACCAGAAAGACTTATGTGCATTAGCCAGTATTAAGATTTTAATAATGATCTTAAGTAAATATTTTACAGTTTCAGTGATCAAAACTAGGACTAAAAACTGAAAAATATACCTAAATTTTTATTTTTGTAGACAGAATTATTTCAAACAATGTTTTAAAATCTTTTTATAAGTTATTGGAAATAACTAGGCCATGAGACGTTAACCTGAACTAAACACAGAACAAACTGATGAGAAAAAAATTAAAACCTAAAGGGGAAATGTTCCCACTTCTTCCATAGATTTTAGAAAAATAAAAATAAAGAGAATAAAATAATGTAAAATTAACAGATAAAAAAACAACAATATTAGGAAATGCAGAAAGGGAAAAAAAGATCATTACAAATTTTGAAATGTATTTCCGAATACTTTGTAAATTTATTTTCCTTCAGTTCAAACTAACCCGGTCAAATTAGGCCAAAGTAAAGTTAAAACTAATATAAAAAGAGCGCTTCTCTTCTTTTTTTTTGTCAAGATGTAGAAATACAGAGACAATTTCCTCCTGAAGCACGAAAAGTTGTTTTCATATCAAAAAGAACTAACAATACAACTTTTATTTTTTCTTTGAAAACATAAATCGGATATTGACTAAATAAATCTAAAACTCCCCCTAAAAAACAGGGTAAATATTACTAGAGAAATATGACTCTGTATAAGGGGTTCAAATGAGTCAAGGCTCTTATGTTGAAAGTATCGCGTACTACTTCCGGGCTCTTCTTTCGTTTGTCCTTGCAATTGATGTATTTCCATGGCAACCGCTGTAGCTACACGGTCCTCTCACATCCCGTTATTTTCTTTGGAAGCTAGTGCATAGTGTTACCCGGCAAAAACTGTTGTTTATATTAGGATAAGAAAAAAAAAATAATTTCATGGATTTTTTAAATTTTTATTATTTTGTCGCTGCTGTTTAAATAAATGACGCCATTATCGAAGGACAGGAATGTGGGCGAAGTTGCGCGAAACACTAAATGGGGAGTGGCAGGTGAGTTTTCTAACGAATGTAATGATTTTTTTGTTTTTGTTATTGTTGCTCAAAATAAAAAAAATGAATAGATTTACGCAATATTATAACCCTGTTCGTAGTATTTATACTTGATATATTCTTTTGGACATTTTAATGTGTAATGCCTTTTTTTTTTTTTTTTTTTTACATGTTTGTCTTTAGACGTAGGTCTTCTTTGTATGCACAGAGAAAACATTTTTGTGTAAACATATACAGCTGAACAAGTTGCTAAGATTAGTCAAATCAAACATATCGTGTGTCTGAAGACAGCAAAGAACAATAATCAAGTTAATCTAGCTGAGCCCTAATCAGGCCAAGCAAACTTTTGTCCTGCATGTTTGTGAGTGTGTATTTGTGATAGGTGTGTGTGTGAGAGACTTAAGGAAGCCTAAATAATTCAACCAGTGCAGCATGCTGATTGAAGAATCTCAAATGGCCCCTGCACTCCATGTGATGGAAAACGTTCAAATCTGACCAGTCGGATTTGCTTTCACACACAGGATAAGGATCAGGTGTTATGTTACTTCTGAGGGTTTCTTTTTTCTATGTTTATACATCTAAAACGGAAGGAAAAAACTGAGTTTACACTCATTTAGTAAACATTTACTATTCTAAAATGTGTATCCTTTTCCATTCTGTTTAAGGGCCCCCTGTCTCCTTGTTGAAGCGTCCTGGTGGAGCATCTCAGCCTTGGCCCTTACACCCACAGCAAGTGGAGCGGCTACACAGGTCCCACCTCCCCTCCTCTCATGCCCCACTCTTCCACACACGGCATGCAGAGGAAAGTGCCGGGAGGCCTCACTTAGTCACTATTGTACGGCCATGTGGTCAAAGTGGACTACGGAAGGTAAAGAAAAAAATATATTAATCCGTGATTTCTATTAATGTTTCATTTAGTTACATGTTTTCTTTCTCAGCACAGTTTACTACTTAAGCCTTTTTAATGACAGAATATAAATGACCACAACTAAATACAAAAAATGTTTTAAGCCAGCAACCATAAAAAAAAATAGGTTCGCTTTTGAGTGTTTATGGTGTCGTACATGTAGACATTCCAGTAGGTTTGTTCATATCTTTACATTATTATGGAGAATTTTGAGCATGGAAATTCAGTTCTTTACATGAAAGCTTGATCCCTGAAAATTTAAGGCAGAACTGGGTGTTTTTATCAAGAACAACAACATATTTTCTCTTAAAGGTGCAAACCTGTTGACTGCTGTGTGTGAGTGGTTTAAGGTTTGTTTTTATCATTGACATCTATCTTTGCAGGACATCTAAAGTGTAAAACGACTTTCCAAACTTTACAAACTCCTGTTAAAATACAATTTTTTCACAATTTTAAAACTTGTCTTTACATATATATCATGTACAACCGTCATGATAAACAAATATTTAGGGGGAAATTATTAAGAAAAAAAAGGTTCAATAGGCTGGTTGCACAAGTATGCACATTGTTGAATTGATAAAAGAGAATTAAACACTATTTTATGTCAATTTTTGCATTCAGTCTTCTTTGGTAGAAGTCTTAGCCTTTGGCCTTTCAAAAACTTTTTTTTTTAAGATTTGAAAATCACTATGAAGGTGAAGAAAAATTCACAACACTTAAAAGGCATGGGTATGTCCTGATCCATTATAAATAACAGTCTGATATTTTCCAAAAAACTGATATCGGATTTTATATTTTCCTGCTGATAGAAACCCTCTACTATTGTTAAAAGTTCTTTTAACTCATTGGTTAATTTTACTTGGGGTCAGTTATTTTCCTACCTTTTGTTATTAACTTTTGTTCCCTGTTTTAGTGATATTACTTTCTGCAGTATAAATAAGTAATAAAATCCGTTATGATTCATGTTGAAATTTCGGGTCAATATCGGTATCAGCTAATTCTCAAAGCTCCAATATCAGCATCGTATCAGAAAGAAAAAAAGGTGTATCAGGACACCCCTATCTGAAACTGCTCATAATCTCATGCGACTTGATGAAATTACCATATGTAATAACAGTGTTTATGCTGTTGTTTTGGTAATGTTCTGTGCTCCTGCCAGCTTTGCTTTTTTAAACTGTGACAAAAAAAAAACAACTCAACCCCGCCTTTCGCCTGTAGATAGCTGGAGATAGGCAGCAGCACCCTTAGCAACCCTGCTTGGGATAAGCGTGACAGAAAATGGATAGATGGATGGGTTCCTTTTTATTTTTTCCCACAAGGCTTTGGGAGATTTTAATCACATATTTATTTATTATTTGTAAGAATAGAGTTTGTTACTCACAGCTTAATACAGAAGACTGTTGTATAAAACACAAGCCATAAAGTTAAAAGTTCCTTCAGATGCTCCAGTTTTACTGTCAACCTCCATGACTGCTTTTTATTATCAAGATATTATATATTTAGTGGAAAGTTAGAATAGAATAGAATAGAATAGAATAGAATAGAATAGACAATCCATTTATTGGCCCGCAATGGAGAAATTATGGTGTTTACAGCAGCAAAAAGATTATAGAAAAAAAAAAGATGTTTTTTTAATTACATTTTCTGTTCTGATACAAATAAAATGGTAGAAAAAATATGTTTCAATTGATGGAATGAGAGATCTCAAGCAGACTGGACAGAATCCTAATGTCCTAACAAGTAATTAGTTTGTGTATTAATAATAGCTAATGTTCTCCCTGCTGTTTATAAGGTGACTGTGCTGCTGAACAGGAGGGCGGTGGTGTCCTTTGAGCAGCTGCTCCTGGATATCTCCGAAGCATTGGGGTTTCCACGATGGCACAGGGGAAGAGTGACACGTCTGTTCACAACACATGCTCGAGAGGTGAGGCAGACCGTGACTGGGTTCATAAAACAAGGGGTATATCTAAAAAGAAAAATACTAACTGAGCTCTGCAATTTATTTTTTCCTTAAAAATAGGCCCAAGACATGTTAAACCTTTGTGTTTCAGATTAGTTATTTATCTTCTTGTGACATTTTTGTGATCTTGATCACCTTGGTTTGACTCAGTTAGTGTTTAAATGCTTTATCTGGCAGAAAACATCTTCAATTAAATCAGCTCTCCAAATGTAATGCAAGAGCCATCCTTTATAGCAGCCTGCTCTCAGATTTCTGGTATAGATTTGTATGGTTCTGTCCAGATAACATGTTTTTTTTCTTTTCTTTTTTTAATCTTTTTTGTAGGTAAAGGGAGTGTGTGATTTCTTCTGTGGGGAGGTGGCTTTCTTGGCTCTCGGTAAGACCCGCCCTGAGTTGCACAGTGTGCAGGACGCTCTTGAGGAACTTTTCCCAGAAGCCTCCCATTACCGTGCAGATGCTCTGCGGGTCTGGGAGAAGAAACTCCGGCCAGCCCCAGATAAAGCTGCCAAAGCAGACAGCGGATACAGCGAGGAGACAGAAAACACTGGGAATTTAGAGAAAGAGACACTGCCAGACACACATAATGCCCAAGCATCTCAACATCCACACAAACACCAGAAAGGACGCTATATTTCTGACCCCCAGAATTCTAATAAGAAGAATTCCTGCAACAAACCTGTTCAGCTTCCCAACAACCTGCAGAAATTACGTGTTAGGGGAGGACTCAAAGAGAGAAAGCTTTCTATTATTGGTCCATTAAAACATAATGAAGTTTTGAAAGACACAAATATACCATCTCCTATATTGTGTGAAAGCTGCTTAGTGACAAAATCAAAACCTCTGGCTCCAGGACTGATTAGCACTCTGTCAGGATGGGCTCCTCTTCCTCCTGTGTCAAAGAAACAGAAAGAGGCGAAACAGTCAGATGATTGTAAGTCCCCCACACCTCCTCCAGTCAGCAGTGACAAGGAGCAGAGCTCTGTACCATCACAGCCTTTAGCTCCAGCTCCTTCAGTACACACAGAACCCCCAGTCACAGACACCTACATCCTCCCAGATGATAGGGATCTCACCTTGTCCGACATTGAGCGCTGCTATGAAATCGGACGTCTGGTTGGAGATGGGAACTTCGCTGTTGTACGGGAGTGCCGGCGTCGTGACGACGGCCAACCTGTCGCCCTGAAGATTGTGGAACGCTCCAAGCTGATTGGTCGGGAGCACATGATGCAGAATGAGCTCAGCCTCCTAGGTAGCCTGAGACACCCCCGTATAGTGAGGCTGCTGGCCCACCACCATACTCGTACGCACTCCTACCTGGTGATGGAGCTAGTGAGCGGAGGAGATCTGTTCGAGGCCATCAGTGACAGAGGGAAGTTTTCAGAGGCTGAGGCTGGACTGATGGTTTTGGATGTGAGCGAAGCGCTAAGCTACATCCACTGCAGGAGCATCGTCCACAGGGACCTAAAACCTGAGAATTTATTGGTTAGTATCAAAGCAGATATGTTATAAAACAGTTGGAGTGAGATATTTTAGGCCTACAGTATCTTGCAGAGGCTTTTTGAAATGTCTCCATTACACACAGACACAATTTACTGACTTTTAATGTAAATTCATTGGATAGAAAAACCTAAGGATTTAAGTGCAATGCAGATTTTAGCTTTTCAGGCAACATTTGCAACTTTTCGCCTCTGGGGGCACTAGACCTGTAACCTTTTACTCAAGTAAAAATGTAAAAGTACTATTTTTAAAACTTCTTCAAGTATAAAAGTAAAAGTAATGCAGGGAAAACTGTTAAGGACAGATGCTTTAAACTTTATACTGGTTACTACACTACCCTATTGAAGAAACAATTTTCTACAATTCTGGATGATAACTTATACTTATTTTTCTTAGTTTTATAACTAATGGTAACAGTGTCAAAATTAACTTTGCATCATCTTGAAAAACTATTTTCTTTTGGTATGTTGGAGCAGTACAACCAAAAGAAATTAATTGTCTGGAAGAAATACATTATTTTGATGTTTTTTTTATAAACCAACAGGCCATAAAGAAAATGAGCTTAAATAAAACAAAACTAATGAGGCTATTTTTTTTACAAAGTAAGGAATAGAAAATAGAGATAATTGCAAAAAAGAAAAAAAAAAGGATAAAAAAAAAGGAGTAGAAGTAAAAAGTTGTCTAAAAAGTAATTACTCCAGTAAAGTATATAGTCAAATTTTCTACGTAAGTAGGGTAACAAAATATTTGTATTTTTATACCTCTTAATTAGGCTAATACTTGGGTTAAAATTTAGGCAGCCTTACTTTAAGAAAAGCAGGCCCATATCATAATGCTTCCACCACCATGTTTCACCTTGTGTATTATTTATTCAGGGTAATGTGGGATGGTTTCTGGGACACATTCCTTTTTTTCCATTTATGCCAAAAAGCTCACCTTTTGGCTCAATGAGTTGTAGCCCGCTCCAACCCGGACATATAATGCCTTTCTTTCAACAATGGCTTTTTTTATTTGTTCATATAGAACAAATTTTTGGGGGAAAAAAGGTAATATTTTCCTGTTAAGATATTCTCCCACCTGAGCGGAGTAGCTCCTCCAGAATTATTATCTATGTCTTGAATTTTTTTTTTCCATGAATACCTTTTTCCTTTTTCTCCAGTCTAGGTGCATAGTCACATCTTTGTAGATTTGTAGTTGTCTAATACTGTTTACACGTTCTGATGATGGATTAGTTGAGCTCTAACAGTCATCACATGAGTTGGTTGGTGTTTTATAACCTCATGACACTTCAAGCGTTTCCACTTCTTCATTTATGACTGCCAGATTCTAAACGACACACATGAAGAAAGGCTCTTTTTTGATATCTATGTAACATCCAAATACATATTAAAAGTACTGTTTAGAAATTGTTTTTGTTTTAAATCTACAAACCATGTGAATTTTTCCAAAAATTTTTTCATCTCTTATCCACATTATTACTTTTGCATAGGACTGTAAATCTGTAGGACCATGAGTTAAAGCAGGAAGTTGTATTATTCTCTCCTCAGACACAAATAGATGACGATCAAAGCTCTCCTTTTGTTAATCCCACCCAGCCTGGTCTTGCTATCTAGTTTCCGTTCTCATTCGCCTGGTTCTGCTGGAGATTTCTTCCTGTTAAAAGGGCGTTTTTCCTCTCCACTGTCGCTACAAGCATGCTTAGTGTGAGGGATTGCATTCGAGTCAATGAGTCGATGCAATCAACTGGTTTTCTTTAGATAGAAAACTTTAAATCAATTTGACTGTATGATCTGGTTGAACTGTAAAGTGCCTTGAGATGACATGTGTTGTGAATTGGTGCTATATAAATAAACTGAATTGAATTAAAATTGAATTGTCTCTCAGATAGAGAAAGTAACTGCTGGCATGGATCGGCTGAAGTTGGCAGACTTTGGCCTGGCAATGGTAGTAACAGAACCAGTCTTCACCATTTGTGGAACACCAACATATGTGGCTCCAGAGATCCTCTGTGAGACAGGTGAGCTTCTTTAAACACTTTTCTACACTTGAATGCGAGTCTGGTCATTTTAAAGCTCTTCATGGTCATCCTGTAGGGTATGGATTAGCAGTGGATGTTTGGGCTCTGGGGGTGATTCTCTATATCCTGCTGTGTGGCTTTGCCCCATTTCGCAGCCGGGATCGGGATCAAGAAGAGCTCTTTAACCTTATAAAACAAGCAGAGCTTCAATTCCCTTCGCCCTACTGGGACTCTATCTCAGAAGGTAAATCAGACTTGAATATTGTCATGTAAAGATGAACAATCAGTGTCTATGTTTTTACTTTTATGTATACATGGTATATTTGAAGCTGTGTTTTTTATTTTTGCATTTGAATGTGATTTCATTGATTTTAGAAAATAGTAAAGACCAGATCACCTAGTTGATTAAACCTTAGAATTGCGAGAGGGCGTACCTTTTTTTTTTTAAGTGAGTAAGAATCAAACCGCTGGAATTGTAAATATTTATAAGTCCAACCTAATTTCTATACATTCTGCTATATTTATGGTATTGCAAAGTGATCTTTATCACAATTTCTCCATGGTTTCTGAGGATTTAAGAGTTTATCCTCAGATTTAAACTGTTTCACTTTTATTTAGTTCCTCACTTGTAGCATCAAGTACCTGATAATTTTCAGAGGAATGCTCAGCTCTTTAAACTCAAAGAACGGACCAAGTCTTTTGTCTACAAACAACAGATTACTTAGCAACAGATTACTTGGATTATTTGGCATATTATTACAAGCAGCTATTTGTATTAATTTTATGTAATAATTAATTACATTAATTTATATAAAAAAGCATAAAAAACCCAGTTTGACAGAAAGATAATTGTATTTTTACACCATCAAGATGATTGGAAGTACTAGTCAATGAAAACTTACCATAGGAGTAATTAAAAAATTTTCTGGTGACTTTTTATTTCAACAGAATATTTTTCTCAGAAGGTCATTTATAATAATGAAGCATACCATTTTTCCAAACAAAGAATGATGTGCTTTATTTTGGTATGTTTTAACTGTTTGAATACAATGCCTTTTAAATCATATGTATATACTAATCTACTTACTTGGGCTTGTACTATTTGCATCCATTTTTAAACAGGTTATATGACCAGGTGCAAACAAGGATTTAACAAAATAAAAAAATATTAAAAAGCAGAGAAAAGTTAAAAACAAAAACATAATTGAGACATCTTTATAAAATATAAATAACTGATACATTTTAAGAACTCACAAGACAATGTGACTCACTGGGGGGGGGGTCATTTTTATATTAGCTTTAAAACTTTACACTGTTTAACACTGTGCAGCAAATATCATTACACAATTCGATATTTTCATTTTTTCTTTGTGGACAAACAGATGCCACAGGTCTTGTCAGATCTCTGCTCACACCCGATCCCACATTAAGGCTGACAGCAGAGCAGACCCTACAGCACCATTGGGTGAAGACTATGGCTTCAGCCTGCAGCCAGAGGGCACTCTCTGGCAAAACTAAAGGAAATCATGTTGCTTATAAAAAAGTAATGCAGGGAGTGGAGAGCCAAACTCCAGAAAACGCTGCAGAATCACTGACAAACCAAACAGCCGAACACCCTGGCACTGAGACGGAAATAACCTTCAAGAGACATAATGAATTTACAAAAAGAGGCCAAGATCAGAACACAAATCCACTGGTACAATCTGAAGACAAGAGCTGCATAGGCATTGAAGCTTCCAAGAAGAGAGAGCAAACACCTTTAGCTGATACACGTCGTCAAGAGAAACCAGAAACAGTATCTGCAGAGCAGCAGAAAGGCAGAGCAGCGACTCCTCCACAACTGAAAACAAGCCTTCATCCCAGATTAAACTGCAGTCCAAACAGAACAGAGAACAGTAAACCAACAGATTCAGCATCTCTAACCAAACACCAGGAATGGTAAATTGCCAACAGCATCATACTCCATCACCAAGACCAGAGGCTAAGTGTTTGGCTATCCAGCAGCTCTACACCTCACATTAAACGACACTGAGTCACCACAAACAGATGACTCTAAAGCACAATAAGGCCAATGGTCTAAACATTCAAGCCCTGTCATGAGCGGAATTTCTATCAGTTTGATTGTGTGATTAGATCAGGACAATCTTTCTTTGTTACAAACAATAGCCTTGATTTTATTTTCGCAGTTGAAGTTTCGGACGAATGAATAAAGTCTGATTGATGAGATCAATGTTTAGACCATTTGTTCTCCGTTTAGGAATTAATCATGGGATGTTGTTTAACGGCTGAGTCTCTGTCCAAACTTGCAAATTTAGTCCGTAAACATGAAGCATGTTAACTTGTGTTGTGATAACATTTTCAAGTATTATTCTTACATATTTTACATTTATAGAGACATAAAAGTGCAACCTAATAGATGTTATTTTAAAAGCGCTTTATTTTAGGATTATTACTTCTAAATTGAAAACATAAATTCTACTAAAGCGTCCTTTACCAAGGGTTTGTTTTTTTATGTTGTGACATTAAAGTACTACTGGTTTGACTTTGTCCAAATGACACTGGTAATGTTAAACTAAATGTGTAGTAAGATATTGTAAACAACGCTGACTGTTGGAACAGGCTCTGAACACATTGAGCCACTGGGTTGCATACCTAGGGGGGGTATTGCTCTCCTGCCATTCCACACAGACCAAATAGGGCATATCTCTCTATCCAATGAGGACTGGTTAATCCTGTCCCTCCGACTGCAGACAGCTGACATTCTGACATCCTGCCCCACCCAGCCAAAAGCACTTTCACAACCCCCCTCATACCCAGGCCAGTAGACTTCCGCAGTCTTTGTGGTTTCGGTACCATATATAGACTATGTAAGGGACATTGGTAGTGAATGATAAAGCTTATCAATGCCTATAGTATGCCAAGTATCAGTGCTATCCTGCTTTTCTAGTTAGATCTTTTATGCATCATCAAACCATGCATGCAGAGAATTCCTTAAAGTTAGTCAAACCAGTTTAAAAGACTGTTATAAGCCCTTCAAATGTGCAAGCCACAAACCGAAACATTAGAAATCTGATTTGGTTGTATGTTTAGCAGCTTGTTGAAAGCAATCCCTCTCTAGAATCATCACTGTCATACACTGGCAATGTTTTTTTTTTTTTTTCTGTCACATATGCAGTCATAATAAGAAAAAACAGAATGGAGATCAGCTTCGTTGGCTAAGATTGTGTGCACAAACTAGAGAACTGATGCATTTAAAACGTGCAGACCTGTAGGAAGAATTATAAAAACTTAAGAGGAAGTATTTAATAATTAAACTTTATTGATTTTACATTGGAGAAATTGACCTCTGCATTTAAACCATCCCCTTGGGGAGCAGTGGGCTGCCATCGTGGGCTGCCGGGGAGCAATCAGGGGTTAAGGGTCTTACTCAGACACCCAGAGTGGCAGTGGGTTTCAAGCTCACAACCTCAAGATTCCAAGCTCTATACCCTAACCACTAGGCTGCCACTCCCCCATATGTAGAATGAAAGAAATAGTACCGTATGTAAATCATTTTTTTCATACATAAATACAAGTTGTAGTGCTGACATGAAAAAAGTGTGACCAGTCTGCGTCCAGGATGTAGGGGGGTCTACAGAGATGTTAGCTGCTCCTTTGAAAGGGAAACTCAGCCCCTATATTCTCTCTAAAGATTTATTTGTTTTTTATAGTTTGGACCAGTTCCTGTTTTCTGAATGAGTCACAACCACAGTTACTGCCAAATTGTAGCAATAAAAGTGCTAATTTGAGAAAAGAACTGTTTTTAGAAGTTTTTCCCCACTAATTAAATATAACCTGATTAGTATTCACTTTATCTAAAAACAGTGTTTTCTGAAACATATACACTTTTGTTTGTAAAGAACTGTAATAACTGAATATGATGTATACATTTTTTATTAGCGGATAGTCTGCTGACATTGAGAGATTTAGCCTGAAATGCACATTAACAATACATATATACAGATTTGAAATTAAAATAGTTGAAAGTAAGGGGTTTTGTGTACTTGTTTAGATAAAAACGAAATAACTAACCTTTTAGATGCATTTGAATGAGCTGTTTAATAGTCTAAGCAAGATCAAGCACAGTGATGAGGATATAACTAAATCATTATTCAATTTATGTAGACTTTATGCTTTAGCAATAAGTAGTTATACTGTTGTTGTAAATTATATAGTAGAAGACTGAATCTGTTAAGCTAGTTGCAGAAACCTCATCCCTGTGAATGATAAACAAAAGCAATTGTTTTTTTTTGTTTTTTATAAAAAAAATTGCATACATTGCAAATGTTAGAGCCTTTTTAATAAATGTGCACTGAGGTGTGTCGTCAACAGACCTTGGTAGTGTAATTTGCAATAAATTATGATTACATTTGCTCTCAGTCTGTTTATTGCTTTGTAAATATACTGTTTCACAGAAATCATCAGGTTCATTTAGGATATGAGATTGATATATTTTGTTGTGATAAATTAAAACTTTCCTTTGTAACTTGTGGGAAAATGTAAAATGATATTTTTTTTAGATTTACATACTAGTTAACTGAAATGAATAATTTTAGACTAATTAAAAAAGAGAATTAAGCTTTTTTATTTAATCTTACAACAGTTTTTCATTAAACTAACAGTACATCAGTCTATTTCTTAAAGACTGTAATAACCGAGCATTCATCTTTTGATATTAGTTTATCTGCTGACAATTTAGCTCACTGAAATCTTTATTTAAATCATAAGATGTAGTGAAGTAGAGGTGGCATTAAAAACAAACTAAAAAGAAGTTTACTCTAAATTTAAGAGGTCTTCTCATTCTAGCAGAGGCATTTTGGCAGCTTATTAGGTTTTGATTACATTTAAACTACTGATCAAAGGTAAGGTCAATAACTCAAGTCATGTACTACCAAAAAACATTCTTCATTCAACCTGTAACATAAAAGCAACTCTCAAAAAATACTTTAACTTTTCTTAACTTTCCAACTGTTCCAGATGTAATCAGAAAAAAATGTATGTATGCTATTGTAACATGATCAAAATATTCCAATACTTTATTACTTTCATTTAAAAGCAGCTATTTACTGAAATTTAGATGTTTGTTAAGAAATATAATGTATATCTGCCCTAGATTCAGATAAAATTAGACAAAACAGTTTTTGATTGAAATAAATACATTTTTAAACAAGAAAATAGTACATTAATAGTATTTTATTTTTCTAGCTTTATAAGTCAGAAAGTATTTAAATCCTATGGGGATGAAGCTCAACTTTGTGGCTTTTCAGGTTTTGGTCGATTTTAAAGCCCTGGGAAAGATGCTCAGTGCGCATGCGCGTCTCAAACTCTTTAAATACCCAAGTCATCTGCCACAACAAAACATTCCTCTGTCAGCCAATTTGCGAGTGTAGCGTAGAGGCCCCCACCCCTGCGGATGCAGGCGCTTACCATTTACCTTTAAATGCTCGGCATGTGTCCCAGGCTTTCAATTTAGTACCTTCCTGAAAGAGAAAAGAGAAAAAACACGGTCAAGTCAGGAAACGGACAGAAAAAAACCCCCCACAAAAACAAAACAAAACAAAGATGGCTGTGTAGCCAGGGAGACAAGTCCTAACAGAACTCTCTCTCAAGCAGTGGTCATCGATAGGTTCTGTGTGTGGTCCGGTGGATAGACAGCCCGAGAGCTTAGCCGGTACCCGGAGCAGCAGGCAGGGACGCGGGGAGAGCAGCGGAGCAGGGCCGCTGGCAGTGACCGTCGTTACCTGCTGTCGCTGCGAATAACGGACAGCTGAGTGAGGCCGAGTTGTTTTTGTTCAGCCTGGGCTCTGGAAAAGGGGACTGCTAGACTCGCTGTAAGTCATCTGAACTAGTCAAAAATCTGATTAACTTGGTAGTTGCTATAAAATTTGGCTCATGTTCTCGTTTTCTCGCGTAAGAGTTGGCTTGTTAAACATCAACCTTCCTGTGCTCAGGGCTGTGTTAACTGACGTGTTAGCCTAGCTCACGTTAGCTCGACAGGTCGTAAGCTAACCTGAGCTAACCTCCATATTTTGTTTTCTTTCGGACCCAGCCTGGTCGGGGCAGGTACATATCTGGTAGTTTTGTTTTTCCAGGCGGCCAACACTATGTCTTCCCTGGAAGAAAGGGACGTGGGCGTTGCGGTCGCCCCTGGCTCCTCCTCGGCCGGCCTGGGGGTCGGGGCCGTGGGGGCACCGGGAGAGGCTGTCGCCGGGGTCGCGGCCATGCAGGAGGATGTCGGTATACGGAGAGAGGGGCCCGAGCCTGACCCGGACGAGCCGCCCAAAAAGAGGGTGAAAATACCCGAAGGGGAGTCAGGGAAGCTGGAGGAGAGACTGTACTCAGTGCTGTGCTGCACCGTGTGCCTTGACTTACCCAAGGCGTCTGTTTATCAGGTAAAGGTGGTGACAATCGCATAAAAAAAACACACTTCTTAACTTAATGTCAAGCATCAATAAATCAACTGAAAAACACAATAGAATCCCCCTCACTGTGTCCAAACCTATAATTCAACCTGTTGAATGTATGGACCCATCCAGTTATTGTTACAGATTCCTGGTCTAAAAAGGTTTTAAAAAGTGCCCATAGTGGAGATGCCAACCATGATTCAGAGTAAAGACAGTTCTTTTTTTCTAACGTTTTGGGTTAAATCCCTTTTTTTTTTCTTAGATCCACAGAAAAATGCAACATCCCCATTCTAATAACTTGGCCTCCTTAATTTCTTTGCTTTCACTTTGTCATTTATTGACCTCAAGTTTTGGTATTCAATGTCATGATACCGGACTTCAGACTTTGTTCTGATCTTAGTTAACCTTACATCTACAGAAGCACAATGTGACACTTTTCCTTATATTTATCTTGCAAATTAATCCTTTATTAAACTTACTTTTATTAACAATCAACAATTATGCATCAAGTGCATACTTTTAGTCCCCTCACTTGTACATAGAGTTGGTTAGGAGTTATAAATATTGATTTTTTTTTTTTTTTTTTAAACAAAGCAAGTACTTATTATCTAATCAAAGGAAATGTTTCCAATTTCTAACTATTAATAGTGGATTGATTAATCTCCACTTATCAATATGTTCATATTGATTTCAGATGTCTATATATATATATATATATATATATATGTAAAACGTTAGTACAAAATAATAATAAATAGTGATATTTGTAATAGACCTATTTATTATAGATTGTCATAGGTTCCTGTTTTTTTTTTATTAAACTTTATGTAGT